GACACGATGAAAATAGTGGCGGTGGTGGTGACGATGCTGACAGCGACGACGGGGCAGCCAGTTACGGCGCCGATGCTGATCGCGCCGACGACGATGACGGCGTCTTCGCGTCGGTGATGAAGGTTTGGGAAGGAATTCGAAATGCGCGCGCGGCAGACGCGCGAGAGTGGTTCGCAGGGTATTATTTGACACGGATCGTGCTACCCCAGCACGCGCGCAAAAGGCGTTCGAACGATTTCGACATGCGCGCGAGAAGCCCGTTTTGGTAATTGGTCATAAACATGTGTTGGCTTCCAACAAAAATGTGTGCTCTTGTTTTTTTGAGCTTTTCTTTTCATGTACAACACGGTTGGTTTCCGTAAGAATTCGCACGAGCGTGCGCGCACGCTTTTGCTGAACACTCTTGCTGCGAAGCCTTATATATGTGTATATATGTGTGTGAATGTATATGTTTACTCATAATATATATATATATACTATATATATACATACATACATACATACAATCATATATATGTATATATATGTATATATATATATATACATATATATATATATGTATTGGACACGATTTGGACATACTTCCGAAACTGAGAGTTGTTGAAGGATTCCGGCATGCGCGCGCGACGACGCGCGCGTGCGCATTTCGTCCAATCTTGTGCAACGATTTCTCGCGACGGCACGCGCGCAGGGGCGTTCGCACGATTTCGACACGCGCGCGCGAAGCCCGTTTGGCAGCATGTTCTGACGATGGTAGAAAAACACATGGTTTTTGAAGGGGTTCGCAAGAGCGCGCGCGCACGCTTTTGTTGAACATCCGTGTTGCGAAACTTTGTGTGCGTGTTGTTTTTATTGTTCTTTGGACACTCGGTTTTGAAGTCCTTCCGACGCCGAAGGTTCTTGAAGGATTTCAATTCTTGAAAACTTATGATGTTTGATAAACGAGTGCGCGCGCATAATGTTTGTTGCGGGTGGTGGCGGGGGGGGGATGCCGGCTGGCTTGGGATGGTATGAACCCAGAGGGAAAATGCACGAAGTGTTACGCGATCACATTTGAATTTCCAATCGAATCGACGCGTAACGGATAAGCCCAGCGGGATTTTTTCATTTTTTTATGTAAAAATGATGATAATATACGGCGCATGCTAACTTATTTTCGCAGTGAGTTGTCAGCCCCACTGCTCACGCAAACATCCCACCCACCCACCCGCAACTTGGTTTGCACAAAACCATGCGGCGGCGATTACGATGAGTGCTTGGTGTTGGCTGGTGCATCTTTGCTGCTGCGCTAGACCGCGCATGCTCGCACGCGCAACGGCCAGCTCATTTGGCGTGGCCGACGCGGCCGTGGTGGCTCTGACCGCTGGGCATTGCCCAGCGGGCACCTCAATGGGAGTCGGCGATTTGGGCGGGCGCTATATCATGGCAGCGTCGACAACACAAGACACGACGATGATCGTAGCGATGCTGGCGATGATGACAACGACGACAGCAAGGCCAGTGACGGCGCCGATGCTAATCACGCCGACGACGATGATGGCGAACTCGCATCGGCGACGAAGGTGTTGGAAGGGGTTCGGCGCGCGCATGGCCGACGCGCGAGAGTGGCCCGCATGGTATTCTTCGACACGTATCGCCCCCCCCCCCCCAACACGCGCGCAAAAAGCGTCCGAATGATTTCGGCATGCGGCGCGAGAGGCCTTTTTAGCTGAATTAAATGAAAGGGGGGAACAAGTTGTGGTTGTCTTAGTGACTCGCAAAAGCGCGAGCGCAGATTTTTTGTGAGCACTTGCGTTGCAAATCCATGATGTGTTATTCGTGTTCGGGGCATTCGGTTTTGACTCACTCGCGGGGCCCACGGTTTGTACTGAATTTCGGTGCGCGCGCGGCGACTCGCGCGTGTTCACTTCGTCCAGGGACCCCCCGACAATTTCGACATGCGCGTGCGACAGGCCCGCTCGGTAGCATCCAGTGGAAATGCCGAAGTAGTTTGCTTACGAAATCGCAAGGGCGCGGGCGCAATATTGTTTCAAAACTTCTTGTTGCGAAACCATAACGTTTGCGGGGCACTCGATGCTGACATCCTTACGACATCACCGGCTTTTGACGGATTTTGGCATGCGCGCGTTGCGGCGCGCGCGTGCGCTTTTCGTCCCGTTTGTTATGTAACGGGTTATGGGGTAATGATGTTTCTTGATAAGTGAATGCGCGCGCATAACGTTGGTTGCAGGGGATGAAAGGGGGGATGCTGGCACTGGTCTGCTTCGGATGGTACGAATTCATGGTAAGGATGGATGGGGCTGGGGCAGAACCATGAGCACATTGCAGTACGAAAAGGGGAGTCGTTAAGTCCGGGGGGGGAAGATCCTATTACTCATTCAGAAAGGAGAGCTAAGTCGTGCAAGCAGCACTGGGCAATCTACGCTGCGATATTGTGGCGGAAACTATGCGGTACACGGTAAGTTGTGCAACGCGGCGCTCTCCAGGCGCCCACGGGCGAGCACCAGGCAAGACCTTGGCACACCCATCTAGCGCACGAGGCGCCCACGGGCAGCCGCGGGCGGGCACCAGGCGAAGCTTCGGCCCATCCGCCCGACACGAAACACACCCACGAGGCGTCCACGGGCGCCCGCCATCTCGGCGCCTGGCGTAGCCCCAGCACACCCAACCAACTCCTTTTAAAAACCAAGGTTGAGCCCCCTAAGTGCCAGCCCTGTTTGGGGGAATTTCTATACCTCTCACTCTATATACGTATACATACATATATGCATGCATGCATACAGATATACATAAGTGCACACATCGATCTGCATGATTGTTAGCCAGCGTGGACTCCAGACAGAGCGTTGCTGCATTGTGGGGGTGAACGTTGTGCGGTGTAAGTGTTGTTGGTGGAGTCTGTGTCGTGTACTCTGCACGTCGTGAGCTGAGGAGGTGAAACCTGTGCGGTGCAAGCTATGCGGTGCAGTTTGTGTCGCGTAAGCTAGGCGGTGCGAAATGAAGGTAAGCACGATGGGGTATAAGCTATGTGATGACAGCTAGGTTGTGTAACATATACGATGCATGCCATGTAGTGCAAGCTATATGGATTGAGCCTTTGTGGTGAGAGCTACGTCGTGTAAGCTCAGATCACGGGGCGCCCACGAGGTGGTACGGACGGCAACGTGTCGCAGTTTTGGCATCACCCCCCAGCGCGGCGCCCAGGAGGCGGCACGGGCGGCAAGGGCGATGCGCCCACGAGGCAGCACGGGTCGCAACGCGGCGACCTATCACACCAGAATAGTCAACCAATTATTCAACGAGGAGCAGTACAAACCTTTATGTGTAATTAGTTGGTGGGAATCGTAACCCATATGTATTTTCGGCTATAGAAGATATAAATACTTACGCAAAATTGTTGATACAACAGTTTCCTCATGCTGCCCAGGCACAACTAAAGGACTGATCGGGGGACTGAGGGCCCTAGAAATTCACAACATCCCCTGAGACGACCAAGACTGACAAAAGACGGCCCAAGATGGCCGCAGGACGAGGGACAGAGGAAGTGTCCAAGACGGCTCAAGAGGGGCCCGAAAGGTCCCAAGGCCAAAATGGATTCTACACAGCCGACGAGGGCCCCAGCCAGACCGCCCTAAGACGGCCCAGACGGGCCCCGAGACGGCCCAGCAGGCCCCCATAGGGCGTCACAGCGACCCCAGGAGATCTTAGGGACGGGCCTACTCGCATCACTGGATGGGCACGGCTCCCCTGCTTCTTCGCGTCTCGCTTGTCACAAGGTGTGACGCTTCGACCACCCCCACTCTCCGAGAGCGCCAGCTTTCTCACCTGCACCAATCTTGGCTAGTCCAATCGGCACAAGTCTGTAACTGGTTGGCGTCCTTCCCCCCGTCTCGCTGCTGCTGCTCGCCCCTGCGTCCACCCCAGGCTCTGCAGGCGCAGTCCCCTCCTCCCGCTCGCTGCGAAGGGTGCCGCTCGCAGCACGAGGCGCCCTCTTGGGCTCCACCCTGGGGTTCCCTTGCCTCCCCGCCCCCTACCTCGTGCGCCGGCTGGGCCACCACCTGCCCTGGCAGCTCTTCACGCCCTGGCGGCGCCTTTTCTCGGCCTCGCTCGGGCGCGTGCCTGCTTCTGCCCGGCGAGGACGAAGGCCCGACTAACGCACGGGGCATGGACGTCCGAGCGATGGCAAGAAGTCCTCGGCCGCCCGCCCTCCGCCCGTGGCGGCCCTTCCTCGCCCGCGAAGGGCCCGCCGGGGTATCGGCGGCGCCGCCGTCTTGGAGCTCTGCCGCCGGTAAGCAGAAACAGAAGCATCATAATGATAATAAGCACAAGACAAATAAGAAGACGAATACGCGCAATAATAGCAGTAGCGATACTAACACTCATACTACGAAGCATCATCATAGTTGTAGCACTAATAATAATCGTACGACATATAATCATACGACGTATAATAATACTTAGAAGAAGAAGACTAAGCATACGAATGAGACAAGTGACACGGGTGGTGGTAAGAAAAGTATGGGCAATTGTGGGAAAGTTGAAGAGAGCCTCCAGCATGGACGTCGACCCTGGTAGTCTCCCGGATACCCTTGAGAGGCTTCCACAGGAGGACTTGGAAGGGCCAACAACGTCCATCACCTCGAACATCGAGCCCCGATCCTCCATCGAGCTTCCATTTTGGGAGGTGTCTGAGCCTTCCCGGGTCACCCTGCGCAGGGCCGAACTCTATTCTGCCGCCTGAGGGGCTCCAGCGCGCGGGGTTAATCGTTGTTCCTTCTCCTCCTTCCTCCTCCTCCTTCCTCCTCTTCCTCCTCCTCCTCCTCCTCCTCCTCCTCCTCCTCCTCCTCCCCCCCTCCTCACTTACCCCACGTGCCGCAGCCCCGACACGGCGTACTCAACGATCGGGTGCTGCAAGAGGTGACCATGGCCAAAGGTGCCCCCAACTTTTCCAGGGACGCCCAGGCGGCCTCCACAGCGGTAGCCTCCCTTCGAAACCGAAGGCGGACGCGAAGCCAAAGGCGGACGCGAAGCCGAAGGCGGAAGCGAAGCCGAAGGCGGACGCCAAGGCGAAGCCCAAGGCCGACGCGAAGGGCGGCGGCTACCCAGCGGCGGGAGGCGGGCTCCCCGCCGAACGCACCAGCCGCGCCCGCTGCTGCTGCTGCTGCTGCTGCTGCTGCTGCTGCTGCTGATGCTCCTGATGGTCCTGCTCCTGCTCCTGCTCGTCCATCCTCTCCGCCTTTTGTCTCCTCCTCCCAGGTGATTCGCGGTTCGGTTGGCTCGGCAGCGCCGCAGTCGATTCCGTTCGTTTCGCTCGGTTCGGTCGTTCATGGCGTCGTTGTTGCGTCGCTGCGCCTTCCTAGGCTGACTGCGGCCTGCTGATTCCTGTTTTGCGGTCGGTTCGGTCGGTTCTCGGTCATGTTTTTGCCGTGGACGGCGTTGTCCTCCCGCTCGTCCTCGTCCACCCTCGCCCCTCTCTCTTCTTGCGAGGTGCTCTAGGAACCTCCCGACTATCCTAATCAGATTCGTCCTCCTGTTCCTCTTGCTCAATCCCCCCTCCTTTCTTCTCCCTCTGACGCCCTCCCCACTCTCTTGCCGCCCGTATCATCTCTCCTGCCTTCCTTAGCCTCCTCCCTCCTCTCCCTGTTTCCCCCTCCCCCTCCTCCCTTCCCTCCTCCCTTCCCGCCTCCCTCTCCCTCTCTCCTCCTTGATCCCTCACACATACTCCTACCTCATCCCTCACTCCTCCCCTTCCCTCTCTCCCCTTTTGCCCTCCCCCCCATCTAGTCATCACTACCCTCCCCTTCCTCTCCCCACTCGTGTTGCTGCCACTACTCCTCTGCTCGATTATCCAGTTGCTGCTGCTGGTCGAGAGCCAAAGGAGCTGAATGAGGAGGATCAAGGATAGATGAGACGCCGAGGGAGGCAAGCAGCCCTGTCTCCTCCCCCTCCCCCTGTTCGTCGGCGAGCCCGTCGGTCCATGCTCGGAACAGGCACAGGGTGTCTTGTGGTTGTTTTGCGTCCTCAGCACTCCGACCCTCTGGCCTACAGGAGACCCGTCAAAAGAAGAGCAACCAAAGAGAGCGGACAGATACGGGAGACATACAGTCAACCCGCATAGTAAGGATGGGCAACCTTCCCAAGGGTACCCTTGCATCCTTGCCTCCTCGGTCCACCCTTCGCCGCTTTCGCTGGCCGCGCCCCGCCCGAAAAGCTTCGAAATGTGCGTCCAAGGCCCTTGCATCCTTATCGCGCATCCTTACTATACTGCTTAACTATATCACCACGCTGCTTACGATAAACATCGCACGCATTGTCAGCACGATCATGTTCATCCTTCCGAGCGGCACGTTACAGCAGAGGGGTTCGCACGCGCTCGCGCTCTGGACGTCGAAGTTCGCACTCACACTGAGAATGAGATCATCTCGAACTTTAAGGAGGGTGGAGCAACAACAATCTGCTGCTGCTGCTGCTGATGCCGCTGGCTCCTCATCCTCCTCCTCCTCCTGCTCCTCCTCTTCCTCCTCCTTCTCCTCCTTCTGGTGCAGGGATAGACTGCCCCCCAGCCCCATGACATGACGTACCCTTCTCCTGCTATTCAGGATCATGATGATCCTCATCCTCTCCCTCCCCCCTTGGAGGAGGAGGCCTTCACACGCATGATAAGTCGCAGAGCCATGTGTGAACAACTCATCCGCCATTGAAGCATTGAAGATGCGGGCAGGCTCGTCCAGGATCAAAGCTCTCCCCATCGTCCTCCTCCTACTTCTATTCCTACACATTCGAGGTCCTCCCCCAGCCTCCCCTTCATAAGATCCTCTTCTCTCCCCCCTCCCCCTCCAAGGTCCTCCTTCTCCTTTCCCACCTCCTTCTCATGACTCACGACTGCGGACGGTCTTGTCGATTTAGCGACTGAAGCTTTCGTGCGCGCCCCACCTCCTCGTCCTCTCCCGTTCCGCGATCGGCTTGGATGGGGGGCGGGGCGCGCGTAGAAACGTGGGCAGTGCAATGGCCAAAAGGAGGAGGGCGTCCCCTGAGGAGAGGGAGACCGACGGAGGGGCGACACGAGGAGGAGCAACAGGAGCACAAGAGAGAAGGGGAGAGAGAGGAGGAGGGGGAGGAGGAAGAGGAGGAGGAGGAGGAGGAAGAAGAGATGAAGAGGAGAGACAGGGGGAGGAGCCAGGGGAAGCAGCAGGCACGACGAAGGAGAGCGGGAGAGGGGAGGGAGAGGGACGCCAACACAGACGACGCCCCCGTCGGGAAACCCCAAAGGAGGGGGGTTCTCTAAGGGAGCTTCGGCTGCATCGACGGCGCTGCGGTTACTGTCGCTCGTGCTCACGTTGCCTCGCCAGCAGTCTCCCTTTCCGCCTCTTCCTCATCCTCCTCCTCCTCCTCCTCGTCCTCCTCCCCCTCCTCCTTCTCCTCCTCCCCAATCCCCTCCACATAACCCATCCCTCAGTCGCCTGTCCCACAAGCGGCGTGCTGGCTGATGCGCTGGCCTACAGCCCGTGAACAGACATCGTACTCTTTCCATGCAGATATTCGGCGGCATTTGCCGCACTGGGTGGATTGCTGGACATTCGAACTGTTCGGGCTTGCGCCTACCGGTAGAGAGTCAAGCGGGGCCCAGCTTAGACAATCTGGTGACACGATCGCTCGGGCAGGGTGGCTGGACAGTGCCCTCTTCGAGGGTCTTCTGAATGGTGGCCGCGGTACTCCCGGCCTTGTGGTTGGTGGCAGGGGAAGCGGCGAGTGGCAGAGGGGAGGGGAATGCTAGGGAGCGAAGGAGATCCGAGTGAACAGGGTTGGTTGGACAGGTGCTCTGGCCTGCCGTGACAATCTGCCGTCAGCCAGCGGGAGGGAAGACTCTGACACTGGCGCAAACGCCTGTCGTCCCAGGCTGGGCCTCGAGCCCAGCGGCCGTGGGACGCACTGGGGCTACGATCCTCCCCCCATCTACCAATCCTCCGCCTCCTCTCCACGAAAGCCCTCCCAGAACGACAGCCGTGCCCAAAAGTGGGGTCCACCCCGCTTTTGCGGTTCGTCCTATCACAGCGGCAAGGGCGTGCTGTCCCTCGCACGCCTCGACTTGGCTACGCGAGCGGTCGGAGGCTTGGCTTATCATGGTAAGAGTCGGTTTTGATGCAAGCAGGATGAGGTAAGAGGAGGGCGATCAATATGGGTGGCCGAGGTGCGCTGTGAAAAGAGTAGCCGGCATTGCCCTGCCTGGTTTAGTCAGGTTCGATCCCATCGCGCGTGGCGAAGATGTCAGCAGAGGTGGCAAAGGCGCGATGTAACGCTTTTTTTTTCTGAGTAGCACCCAAGCCATCTCCACCGCCACCCCTCCAGTTCTCAAGTCCTCCAGTCCTCAAGTCCATCTCCTCCTGCTCCTCCTCCTGCTCCTCCTCCTCCTCCTCCTCCTCCTCCTCCTCCTCCTCCTCCTCCTCCTCCTCCTCCCCTCTCCTCCCTCCTCCCTCCTCCCTCCTCCCTCCTCCCTCCTCCCTCCCTCATCCCTCATCCCTCATCCCTCATCCCTCATCCCTCATCCTCCTCCTCCTCCTGCCCTCCTGGATGCCATCGCGTGCTGCTGGCTGCAGGAGGCATCAGGGGTGCGCTTCACGGGCCTCGTTGTCGGGCCGTTGCGCTTGGCAAGCGCGCCAAGCAGAAGCAGGCCTTCAGCGTTGCGGCTCCGGGCCACCCCGTAGGGGCGCAACCTGCGCTGCGGGCGGGCGGCGGGCTCCTCGGCCTCCGCGCGGTGGTGCCGCGCGCGCCGAGGCGGCGCCGGGGCGGCGGAGGGCCCCCCCGCACGGGGCGTGCACGGGAGCGTGCCCGCAGCCACCCTGAGCGGGCACGCTCCCGCCCGCGCGGCGGCGCCCCGTTGACGGGGGCCACACTCGCCTTCGGCTCGCGCCTCTGCTGTCGGCGGACCGCCGCGCTGGGGCTCCGGGGGGCCTGCCTCTGGCTTTGCGCTGCGGGCTGCGGCTGGCTGAGCCGGCCGCCCTCCTCCCCCTTCCGAGCCTCCTGCAGCGGGGCCTCCGGGCCTCCCCCACGGCTCCCTTGGGGGGACGCCCCAGGCAGGCCCCTGCTTGGTGCGAGGGGCCCGCATCCACATAGCCCGCAGGGGCTTTGTCTCCTCCAGAGGCAGGAGCTCGCCCCCGACGCGCTTATCCTAATCCCTACCCTACACCTCTCTCGCTCTGCCCCCCCTCTCACCACTCCCAGACTTCCCCATCCCTCATTCCTGGGAGGCCTGATCGTCCGCCGAGCGCCGCCGCGATCAAGCGGCGCTGGCTGAGAAGCGCGGCGCGCCAGGTGCAAACCGCGCGGGTCACAGGGAAACGAGGGAGGCGACGAGGAGGCATGAGGTGACAGGAGGAGGGGAGAGGTGGCATGGGATGCATCCGCTGGCAGTTGCTGGTGGCGGAGGCGCGGGTGGTCAGTCAGCACTCGGGTCAGACAGGGAGCGCACCTCCTTTCAGAAGCTCGCCCGCTTCGGGTGCCTTGCGGTGGCTTCGCGGCGCTCATCGGCACCTGGCGTTCGGCCCTCGCCTAGCGCTCGGCGGTGGCCTCGGCGCGGGCCACGGCCTGGCGCAGCTCCCGCCTGGAGCTCGCAGATGTCCTGAAGTTCCTGATCGACGTGGAGGTCGAGGAGGTATCGGGTCCAGCGAGCCTCCAAGTCCCATTATGTTGCCTTTGCCCCGCGGGGGGCGTCGGGTAGGTCGCGGGGTAATTAGTGCCTCGTCGGCGTCGGCGTCGTGGGCGTCGGGTGGGGCGTCGGGAGGGGCGTTGGCCTGGTCGTCGTCCTCCTTCCCGTCCTCGCCTTCCGCATCCCCTCCTTCGTCGCAGGAATGGTTGCTGACGAAGCGTCGGATGACCACGTCCTGCTCCGTCTTGTGCTCGTCCTCATCCTTGTACTCGGCACTGGGGTTCCTCTCCAGGCAGTCGGCCTCCTGGGAGTCCTCCTCGGCAGCTGCTTGATAGATGACCCGGTACGTGATGTGCCAGAGCTTTCGGCCGTTCAGGTGTTGGAATGCCTTGCGGGCCGCGCCTGCAGTGGCGTATCGGACTCTGGCGCAGCCAGGAAACAGCTCGACGGCAACGATGGGTCCGAAGAGGCTGCAGGTGGCCTGAAGGGCCGAGAGGTTGAGCTCCTCGTCAGGGTCCCCGATGAGAGCGGAGGCAGCGTCGAGGGCCTCTGGTGCTGCTCCCAAGGCTGCGAAAGCGGGCGCATCCAGGCGCGACGACGCAGACTGCCACCCGCCGACCGCACCCTCGCTGGGGGGGGGCGGCGGCTCTGCGGCGCGGCCTTGCGAGCCGCCCTCGGTCTCCCGGCCGTCGGCTGCGCCTTAGCCCTGCGGCCCAGGCGGTCCTTTCGAGAGCCGTCTGCGCCGGGACAGCAGCAGCCAGTCGCCAGCGGCCCCCCGTGAGAAGGGCAGGCCCGCCGCTGGGCTGCACCTGCGCCAGGCTATCGGTTCTTGGTGTGAGCCCATCGGGCTGTCTGGGGAATGAAATTCGCCCCAGCCGACGCTGCTGAGATGATCGGGGGCGAACTCGGGCGCCTCCAGTCTGAGATTGCTCACGCTGCCGACTCTTGCGGCGTCGCACGCCCGGGTGTCTGAGCCCGGCCCCTGGACGCAGGGCCGCGACCAGCAGCCAGGTGGAGTTTTCGGCCGCCACGTCCGGCCGCCCGAAGGGCGAGGTTAATGTTGGTGGCGTGCAGCGTTCCCACGCTGGACCACCTCTTCAATTTGCTGCAGAGCCTGAGAGCCAAACATTTGGCGTTCAGCCGCCAGGTCCAACGAAGTCTTCAGACATCAATGGTGTGGTATCCCGCACTGGGTCTCCAGGGCACGCTGAAGAGCTACGGACTTCGCTCTAAGTCAGCGGTCCTCTTTTGGATGATGATGTCAGTTGGGACAGTGAGGTTGCCATGGACGAGCTCCGTCCCCAGCGCGGCGAGCGAGTAGGCAGCCTGAGCGAAATGGATGGAATTGTGGATGTTGAGTTTGTACGTCCTGCCAAAGTGTCGTAAAGCTCCAAGCGAGAAGTTAACAGAGGAACATCCGTCTGCTCTTCTGCCAGCGAAGTGTGTCGTGCGAGACACGTGTAAAGACACGTAGCTCAGAAGGCCACGACACAACGCAACATGCCTCTTGTCGGCTCTTCAGCCAAAATGGCTACGGACCCTCCTCCTCCTCTTCCCCTTTCTCCTCCTCCTCCTCTTTCCCTTTCTCCTCCTCCTCTTCCCCTTCCTCCTCCTCCTCCTCCTCCTCCTCCTACTCCTCCTGCGGTCCTACAGGCCCCGACTGCGATGGCCGGGGCCTCCAGCGCGCGCCCGGGGCGCAGGCGGCGCGGCCAAGCCGGACGGCAAGAAGGGCGGCAGGACGGCGCGCTCTCGGCGGGCGCCGCCTTGCCTCTCCTCTCCTCCTCCTCCTCCTCCTCCTCCTCCTCCTCCTCCTCCTCCTCCTCCTTCCCTCTCCTCCCCCTCCTCCCCCTCCTCCTCCTCCTCCTCCTCCTCCGCCTCCTCCTCCTCCGCCTCCTCCTCCTCCTCCTTCTCCTCCGCGCCCAAGACGGCTGCCCGTTTGTCCACGCCCCCAGCGCCCAGGAGCCCGAGGACGACCTCGGGCGGGCGCGCAGCCATGGCTCCGGGAGGCGTCCCAGCGACGGCTGCCGCATACCAGGAGCGGGAGCCCTACGGGGCATACCCCTGGTAGCGAATCAGCGTCGACTGGGCGCCTCGACGCGACAGTTGGACGAGGAGGAGGACGAAAGCCTGTTCGAGGACGCGGACGGCACCACGTGGCAGGCGACCAAGGGCCGCGGCGTGCTAACGGGCCTAGAGGAAAGGCTGGTGGACCTGAAGGGCCTGTACAAGCGAAAGTTCGGCCGGGACGGGACGGGCCTGGTGCAAAGGCTGGAGGACCTGAAAGGCCTGTACATGCGCAAGCTCGGCCTGGTCGTGGACGAGGAGGAGGACAAGGGACTCTTCGAGGATGCGGACGGCACCACGTGGCAGGTGACCGAAGGCCGCGGCGTGTTGACGGGCCTGAAGGACAGGCGGGACCTGAAGGGCCTGTACAAACGCAAGTTCGGGCTGGACGTGGAGGACGAGAGCCTCTTCGAGGACGCGGACGGCACCAAGTGGAAGGTGACCGAGGGCCGCGGCTACCTCACCGGCCTGGAGCACAGGTTGGAGGACCTGAAGGGCCTGCACATGCGCAAGTTCGGCCTGGACGTGGACGAGGAGGAGGACAAGGCCCTCTCCGAGGACGCGGACGGCACCACGTGGCAGGTGACCGAAGACCGTGGCGTGTTGACGGGCCGGGAGGTCAGGCTGGAGGACCTGCAGGGCCTGTACAAACGCAAGTTCGGCCTGGACGTGGAGGACGAGAGCCTCTTCGAGGACGCGGACGGCACCAAGTGGAAGGTGACCGAGGGCCGCGGCTTCCTCACCGGCCTGGAGCTCAGGTTGGAGGACCTGAAGGGCCTGTACATTCGCAAGTTCGGCCTGGACGTGGACGAGGAGGAGGACAAGGGACTCTTCGAGGACGCGGACGGCACCACGTGGCAGGTGACCGAAGGCCGCGGCGTGTTGACGGGCCGGAGGACCTGAAGGGCCTGTACAAACGCAAGTTCGGGCTGGACGTGGAGGACGAGAGCCTCTTCGAGGACGCGGACGGCACCAAGTGGAAGGTGACCGAGGGCCGCGGCTTCCTCACCGGCCTGGAGCACAGGTTGGAGGACCTGAAGGGCCTGCACATGCGCAAGTTTGGCCTGGACGTGGACGAGGAGGAGGACGTGAGCCTCTGCGAGGACGCGGACGGCACCAACTGGCAGGTGACCGAGGGCCGTGAGTGGTGAAGCATTGCACGAGTGCTCGGTGCGCGTCGGCGTGTGCTCGAGCGTTGCACGCGTACCCAGCGGCGGTTCCGTACCCTGGAGGGGCTTCGAGGTTCCGTCGCTGCGTCGTTCGCGCGTTCGTTCGAACTGTAATTCGTTGTGGAGCTGCAAGACTTAGCAGCATATGAAGGAGTTTATAGCTGTAGGGGACCAGGCCTTGTCGGAGTGCAGCGTCTGTGGAGGAGCCTGCAGCCCCATGATTCAGGAACAGAGTTTATAGTTGTAGGGGACCAGGCTCAGTCGGAGTGCTGCGTCTGTGGAGGAGCCTGCAGCCCCATGACTCAGCGCAGGGCAGACTCTGGAGTCCGCCACCGCCCTGGAGTGCCGTCGCCCTCGGAGCGCGCGGGGCAGGAGGCACCAGCTCTTCGGCATGCCCGTGATGCGTTGCTGGTCTGGCCGCCCCTCCCCTTTCGCCCTCCCTCTCCCCCTCCGCCCCCCGCCGTCTCTCCCCCCTCCTGTGGCGGCGCGATTCTAGATAAGGTCCCTGCCCCCCCGCCGGCGAAACTCGCAGGCGCTGCTGCGAGGAGAGCGGCGGGCACTCTCGACTCCGTCGTATTGGAAACAGCTTGGAAACAGCTCCTCCTGCTCCTCCTCCTCCTCCTCCTCCTCCTCCTCCTCCTCCTCCTCCTCCTCCTCCTCCTCCTCCTCCTCCTCTTCCGCCTCCTACGCCTCCCCCTCCACTTCTTCTTCTTATGAATAACTTCTCCCTGTCTCACCCCGAGGCCAGTTTTTAGGGCGGGCCGGGCGTTCCCCCTGAGACTTCCTCACCACTGATGACTCCGAAGCGTAACAAGTGACATCAGTTTCACAGATGGAGGGCAGGTCGTTTTCAAAATGTTGCTCTCGCCATAGCGCGGCGTTCATTCGTTTAAAACATTTGCAGGAACTTCACGGACTGAGGGCGGGGCGCTCTCAAAATGTGGCTCGACCCTTTGGTGTGTAGCAATTCCTTAACCTTTTCGTTGTTCCTCCTCCTCCACTCCTTTTCCTTGAAAATCTCCTCTACGATTGTGAGGGGGGGAAGGGGGGGGAACCAACATCTGACTCAATCGATCTCACTATCGATCTCACCCAACGGGACACCACGGGACACCACGGGACACTTGTCGATCTCTACTATCGATTTCACTATCGGTCTCATTCAACGGGACACCACAGGCCACCACCGGACACCACGGGACACCGCGGGACACGTCTCGATCTCATGATCGCTCACACCATCGATCTCACTATCGATCTCACTCAACGGGACACCACTGGACACCTGTCGATCTCACTATCGATCTCACTCATTGGGACACCACGGGACACCACGGGACAGTTCGGGGCACCATATCGATTTCAGTATCGATTTCACTATCGATCTCATTATCGACCTCACTATCGATCTCACTATCGATTTCACGATCGACCTCACTCAACCGGACACCACGGGACACCGCGGGACACCGCAAGCCACCGCCAGACGGACGGACGGACGGAGGAACAACATTTGTTTTAACTTCGCCCTAGCAACGGCGTGTTCATTCTTCTCGCACGCCCGCGCAGCTTCGCTTCGCCCGCACGGACGACACGAACGAAACGAAACGATTTCCCAGTTGGGGGTCTCCGTTCCACTGCGATCTCACCCCAGAACCTCCGATTTTCCCCTGTCGCACCCCGAAGCCAGTTTGTATGGCGGACCGGGCGTTTCTCTTCACCTTTATGACCCTGAAGCTTTCACATTGGCAACCGCTTCACAGATGGAGGGCGGGTCGTTTTCAAAATGTGGCTCTCGCCTTAGCGCCGCGCACACTCGTTTCAAACATTCGCCAGAGTTTCACGGATTGGGGGCGGGTCGTTTTCAAAATGTGGTTCTCGCTTCAGCGCCGCGCACATTCGTTGTAAACATTTGCAAGAGTTTCACGGATTGAGGGCGGATCGTTTTCAAAATGTGGTTTTCGAATTAGCGCCGCGCGCATTCGTTTTGAACACTTGCAAGAGTTTCACGGATTCAAGGCGGGTGGTTGTCAAAATGTGGTTATTGCCTTGGTGTTGCGCGCATTCGTTTTAAACATGTGCAACAGTTTCACGGATTGAGGGCGGGTGGTTTTCAACATGTGGTTCTCGCCTGAGCGCCGCGCACATTCGTTGGAATGAGTTGCAAGAATTCACGGGTTCAGGGCGGGTGGTTTTCAGTATGTGGTTGTCGCCTTAGCGCCGCGCGCATCCATCTTAAAACCATTGCAAGAAATTCACATATGCCCATGATCAACGAACCAGAAAGTGTGTTTTAGAAGGATTCCGGATTACGAAGGCGCAACAGTTACGTTGATTCGCGGCGTTGAAGTTCCAGGAATGGTGTTCTGGCACGATTCAATCTCGTCAAGACGCAACGGTCAGGTTGATCCGTTGGAATCCTTAGAACAGTTTTTCGGCTTGCGTCAGGGTCTCCAAACGGTTGTCTTCCAACGAGGCAGCTCCCTCAGCGGAAATGATCCGCTGTATGGGGCCCATGAAGAGGGAGCGCGGAGGGAGGGTTTATTCCAACATCGTTGATGACTCGTGGGTTTCCACTGGTCCTCCTCCTCCTCCTCCTACTCCTCCTCCTCCGTAGCAGGTGGCAGCTTAGTGGTGTCTGTGGACATGTGTGGGATCATGGAAATGCATCACCTCCTCTTGTCCTCCCAAGGGCCGCAAGGATGTGGCGTCTATGGGGCACCTGGGGCACCGAGCACCACTTCGCAGCGTTTTGGTGCACGTTGAAGTGCCCTACGATGTGATTCACGCCTGCTGAGAGCTATTGGGCGCAATGGTGTGTAAAAGCATGGCTAAAGGTTGCCCGTGCATACAAGACCAGAGCGAGAGGGGCTTGACGGTCAGCGTTGTAGGTCTTGATCTTGCAGAGTCTCATGTTTCCAGCGCTGTTTCGGTGGCGGGAAAAATCCTAACCAAAGCAATGGGGTTTGCGGTGTCTCGTGCCAAGCTCGTCCCGTACGGTCGACCTCCAGAGGCCCAACGGCTGTTCCTAACCCTTTCGAGGGAGATGCTTCCGTTTCAGACGATTCGGAATTGGTTTGCAGAATGCAAGAATCTTTTGGTCAGGGTTTCTCTGCGTGGCAGAAACGTCAGTTCCGCAGTTTCAAAGCACATTGCGAAGGCTTGAGGGACTTGCCCGAGTTTTTTTCTTATGAAGCTCAGGACTTCCGTTGCCACGCACACAGCCCCAGATCTCCGTCCATACGTGTTGGATGTTTCTGCGCGGTCTATCGCGTGGCCAAACGTGGGATTGGGATGGTTGGGCACGGTTGGAGTGGGGATTTTTGATGATATTCTTGAAGTTGGGGTGTTCAGAGGTCTTAAGAAGCCCCTCATTCCCTAAGACGGCGCGGGGGGAAGAGGCTTATCGCATGTTCCGGGACACATGTGCAGAATACGTCGACAAGTTGACGTCCTTGCCCAAGCCTCTGTCAGAGCAAACCCGGGCGGTCTGGGACGAAAGCGCAGAAAAACAGGAGTTAGGGTTCATAGCTCAGTGGCAACCTCGGCAACGCATGGATGCTAACTTTGGGCGTGGTGGGCGGAAGCCGAAGGTCCAGTTTGCCGTGTGGAAGCGAACCGAACAAAGAGTCACGGAGGGTCATCGACAACGGCCGCAGTGCGGGCCACAACGACGCTCATGTCGTCCGGGAGCGCATTCACACCACTTGCACTGCAGTGGGTCATGCTATCGCCCGCCGCCTGGCAGCCGCACTCCCTGGCCGCAGGCTCCGTAGGAGCACGCGTGACATGAAAAAGGCGTTCCGTGAAATCCCAGTTGCGGAATGCCACGCTCGGTACCACATCGTGGCTGTTTGGTCGAAATCCCGTGGCGCTTGGGTGTTTGTTGAGCTGGAGGGCCTTGCCTTAGGCATCGGCGTGGCCGTGAACCATTTGAAATTTTCAAGCGCGTGCCCCTGCATTTCTGTGCCGTGGTTCGACGATGGTTAGCCATTCCAGTGACCGGTTATTTTGACGACGTCAAAACCACCGACGTCGAAAGGATTTCGGAATCATCATTCCGGGGTGGGTCTTTGACCGCGGCAAGGATTCTTACCCGTTCTTGGAGGGTCCATTCTTGGGACGGAGAGAGGACTACGCACAGATCCTTGACTCTGGAGTTATCGCGATACCTCCAACGTCAGCGTTCCTGTCTGGTATACTTTACCTCGTGAACACAGTTCTGGACAAAAGGCTTCCGTACTGTATCTGAGGCGTGCACGGTCCGTGGCAAATTGATGCGCCTGGTTGATGCGTGCGAGGGTCGTGTCGGAAGGGGTCAGATGGCTCTTTTCGAAGAGGCTATCCAGGGGCGTGCCGATTGGTGCCTGGTGACAGCAGCCTTGGAATTTCACTTGGCGCTTGCTCAGCTGCAGCGCTGGCGAATCAGCATTATGTTCCCGGGGGTGCGCCCGCGTTTCCCTGTGTATACGGAGTCACGTTGCGAGGCTCGCCCGCCGGCTGCGCATCCTCATGTTGGTCTGCGCTACATCGTGTGATTCGCAAACTGGGGACAATGGGGCGGAGTTGCCGCCCTGTCGGACAGAATCCTGGATAGTTTTGACGCTCGCGAACAGTACATTGCCTTGGGAGAGGCGTTTGCCCCGCTGCTGTGCTTCCACCACTTGAAGGACATATTGGCCGGAGCGTCCGTCGTTGATCTCGTGGACAACTTGCCGCTGTTATCGGCTGTGCGCAAGGGCTCTAGCAACGTAGACTTCGGTGGCCTCGTGCACGCGATCCGCTTGCTCACAGCGTCGCTCCAGCTGCTGGCGTGGTTGGAGCACGTGGACGGCGCAGCAAATATTGCAGACGGCGGTAGCCGCTGCGGTATTGGCGACCTCGTGGCCCGTCGTTTCGGGACTCGTCTCAGGGCAGTGGAGTTGCCGCATATGCGCCAGGTTCCGGCCGAGACTCTGCTGGGATATTTGGAGTCGGGGTTCGATGGATAAGGCGTGAGGTGTTGGGAGTAATTTGGTTCGATGGGGTTGGATGCCCTCGGCCCATGCAGGAGAGAGGGGGGGGGCATCTCTCGTGCATGCCAGTCTTGGCACGTGGATACCCCAAAGGGTAATCCGAGGCAGCCTTATTCCATCTCCCCTCTCACTCCTTCTATCCTTCCTCTGGGACCCCGTGGTGGGAGGCATGTATATGATCCTCCTCCTCCCTTCCTGTTTATCCGCCTGCCCCCTTTTTCTGATATTCGTCCGCCCCCCCTCCCATCACAACCGTTCGTGTGGTCGCCTGGCCTGCCCCCAAGGCGGACATGAAGCGCAGGAAGAGGAAGAGTTGGAGGAGAAGAGGGAGATGAGGTGGAGAGCAAGGGGTTGTAGGAGAGGAGACGACAGGGACGAGGAGGTGAAAAAAGGAGAAGGAGGATGAGAGAGAAGGAGGAGGGCGAATAAGAGGAATGTGACAATGAGGATGGCAGCGGCGACGTTGAGGACGAGGACAAAGACGAGGAGACGGAGGGTCAGCAGGATAAGGGCGACGACGGAGAGGAGCATGAATAGGACGGTGACGAAGGTAAACATTAGGAGGACAAGGTTGGCAGGACAAGAAGGAGTAGGTGGACGAGGAGGACGAGGAGGACAAAACGAGGAGGATGAGGAGGAGGAGGAGGACGAGGAGGACAGGGAACAATGAGGGGGACGAGGAGGACAGGACAAGAAGGAGCAGGAAGTGGAAATGGCGTCGGCGAGACGCCAGTGTCGGCGAGCAGTGGAGGATAACGACGGCGACGACGGCGAGAGGGAGGGCAGGAGGAGGAGGAGGAGAAGAATGGCGACGACGACGCGGAGAAGAAGGGAAGGACGATAAGGTCGAAGATGGCGACGAGGAGGAGGAGGGCGTCTCGAAGTATGAGGAGTAGTTACGACGACGACATGGCGGGATGAGGATGAGGACGAGGAGGTAAAGAATGGCGGCAGTGAAGCACAATTTTCGGCGGGCGTTGGAGGATGAGGGCTGCGACGATGACCAGAAGGAGGACTCGAAGAAGAAACAACTGCATGAACATGTGAACATGAACTTTCGAAGCTCCGCGCGGATTCCTCGGATCGGCGCTGGGCCCCCCTGGCGGCGCCTCCGGCGCCGCCCCTGGCGCGCTCCGCGCGCCAGGGAGGCCCTGGCGCGATCCGCGCGAGGAGCGCGCCAGGGGCGGCGCCGGAGGCGCTGCCAGGGGGGACCAGCGCCGATCCAAGGAATCCGCGCGGAGCTCCGAAAGTTTCTGTTAATTTTGTTGTTTGCTCCTGTGAGGGCAGAAGGAGGTCGACGATTCAGACCTCCAATGTCTACTTTTGTTCGCGACCTGGGCCCCAAGAGCTCTGGACACCATCCCTGTGAGCCCGTTTCTGGTCGCGTGTTCTTGTCCCTTGTCGGTCTTCGACGAACCCAAGGCCCGAGAACGGCCCCCTTGAGGCCAAGATTGAACGACCAACGCCTGCCGAGTTCGTGTTCCGACGCCCCGAGGTCAGGGAACGATGTGCGACGACCACGACCACCACCGTCTCGACAACGACGACGACGACGACGAGCACGACGGAGACGACGGCAAAGAAGACGACAACGGCGGCGGCGACGTGATGACGACGAGGAGCACAACTCATACAACCTACATTGCTTGTTTTCCTATCCGAAGACTCCTGCGGCCTCGCCTTACCCGGGGACCGTGTCTCGTACTGGCTCCGTACTTCATCGTCGTGGGGATCGGACACAGCCACCGGAGGCCAAAGCTTGCAGGATGGAGCACATCAATCTGCCAGACGTCTGGGAACGACGACGGCGGCGACGGCGGCAACTGCGATGGCGACGGCGGCGGCGGCGGCCGCGGCGGCGACCTGAGCCGAAGCCGCGGCCGTGGCCCCCAGCGCGCCCGCGGCGCCGAGCTCCAGCAGCGAGAAGAAGCAACTGCAGCGGCTTGAGAGGGAGGCGGCGGAGGCCCCTCCCACGAGGAAGAGGAGGAGGACTTCGACCGTGGCTTGCCCTGCAGATCTTGATCACATCCAGCACCCTCCCGCGGACCTCGGCACGCACACTCTGCGCTCTCTAGCGGGCGACTTTGTCTTTCTTTATCTCAAAGCCACTATTCTGACCGCTGCGTGCCGAGGTCCTAGTATATGTCACGTTGCCCAAGTCGTACTTCGTGTTTAAATCATCACAGGGATACAACAGCCCGCCGCTGATGTCTGCCTAACGCCACAACAAAACACGAGGACTTCAAGCGATGGCACCGGGGCGCCTTAACCCCGTTAGTAGGCCCAGCTTCTTGGTGCCACTACCTTGTGAAGCACGTTGGTCGTAAGCGCCCATAGTGGTGTACGTTCAGAGTCAGGGCAACCTTCGGGGGACAGCGAGCCGGGGCGTGCGCTGATAATGCTTTCCCGCAACGCCACTGGCCTATGGGGGAGGAGTGGGGAAGAAGGTCGCTGCCTCACAGGAGATCCACACCGAGGAGGAGGAAGGAGAAGGAGGAGGAGGAGGAGGAGGAGGAGGAGGAGGACTAGTGTAAGCCCAGGGTGCATCATTCACGCCCGTCCGAAGTCCCCTCATCATAGATCCCTGCAAGCACTCATGTTTCACTTCGGGAAGCTTTCCCCCCGTAAAACCAGGGAGCCCTTATGGTGTTGCCATTCAACCGCGGGGCCCGTTTTGAAAAGGACCCGCCCTTCATCTTTCGACCTCAGGAAGTATCAGAAAGCACGATCATGGTCCAGGAGAATGTACGGCGAGAGCCACATGTTGAAAACAGACCGCCACTCCAGCCGTGCAGTTGTTGCGCATGTCTGCAGCGTTGGGCATCAAGGATCGGATGCTCAGGCGAGACCCCCATTATGACATGGCGCCGCCCTCGATCCGTGAGCATGTCGCACGTGTATGCAGTTCTTACCAGAAGGTCGGCAACATCAAGCGAGAGACCCACTGGATCGTGCTTGAAGTGAGTGCGGTGAGCGCGCGTGCGGCGCTCAGGCGGGCGCAGCATTGTCAAATGACCCGCACTGTATCCTTGTAGCCGTGTGATGATGCACGAGCCGAGTGCGCTCGGCGCTGGGGCGAGAGCGGCACTTCGAAAACGGCCCGCCCTCCATGTCTGCACTGGTTCAAGCATTCTAGATTCGGAGTATTATGTGGTGGGGGCAGTCTCATGCGACACGCCCGGCGCGCCCTACCGGCACGCCCGGTTGTGCGACGACACAGGGGAGTGTTTTATAAAGAAGAGGCTTGCAGAAGAAGGAGGACTGCAGCTGGAGGAGAAGGAGCAGTGGAGCAATAAGCAAGAGGAGGAAAGTAGCATCAGCACCAGGAGCAGGAGGCAGGCAATTGAGGCAGCAGCAGAGAGGAATAGCAGCAACATCAAGGAAGAGCAGCAGCAGGAGGACACGGTCTGGTCTTGCCTGCCTCCGAGGAGTCATTGGAGAGACGGGGGGCCCAGACCTCCGGCATTTCGATCTGCTTGAGCCCCGGGCCCCCCAGGCCAGCGCTGGGTGAAATATAATGATGCTTGCGTTTGAAGTCTCGAGTATCCTCGATTGGGCTTTTCTTTCTCCTGCGTCGGGGCGCCCCAGGGCAAGCACAACCACGGACCCAGGGCACCCCGGGAGGCCAGTCCGAAGGTGTTCTTCCCGAGGCACCCCGGGGACCCCAGGAAGGCGCCCGGGGCAACCCAGTACCCGCGGCAGCCAGCCGAGGCACTCCCAGGTACCACGGCCAGGCGGCCAGGTTAACTCCAGGGTGCTCCTGTGTACCCTGGCCTCGAGGCGGGGTCAACGCCGGGCTACCCCGATAACCCCGCCAGCCGAAAAGCAGCCGGCCGTGGGGTACCCCGGCCAGGCGGCCGGGGTAATCTCGGCGTACCCCAGCCAGGCGGCCAGGGCAACCCAAAGTGTACCCAAGCCAGGCGGCCGGGGTAGGTATACCGGCCCCGGCCAGGTGGCTGAGGTAGCCCGCTGGCCGGGGTGACCCCAGGTACCCCAGAAAGGCGGCCGGGGCAACCCCAGGGTAAACCCTGCAGGGCTCGCTGGCCAGAGTTACCCCGCGGCAGCCTGGCCAGGGTAACTACCCGGGGTTACCCTGGCGGCTCAGCCCGGGTACGGGTTGCTTCAACGGCCCGGCCGGGGCACCCCGGGATTACCAAAGAGGTATTTGGGCGGCCCGGCCGGGGCATCTCGGGATTACCCTGGCGGCCCGGCCGGGGTACCCCGGGGTTGGTCTACGAGTGGAGGAGGGGAGAAGGAGGAGGAGGAGGAGGAGGAGGAGGAGGAGGAGGAGGAGCAGGAGGAGGCGGGGGAGGAGGAGGCGGAGGAGGAGGCGGAGGAGGAGCTTCTTTTTGCCCATCAATGTCTTCATTCGGGTCAGGCGTGAAGCCGAGCGCACGATCTTTTAATGTCCAAATCCGGTTAAAAAATGATGACCCCCCCCCTCTCCCTCCCCCCCCCCCCTCGGATCCCGACTGCCATTCATTCGCATCCGAATAACTATTTGTTTGTATCTGTCCCCCCTGGAAAAAATCCATGGATGCCGATCGATACCACTTGTATATACCTCGGTACCAGGGAGAATGCCGATGTGACATTGTAGCTTGGTGTCGCCCCTTATGTCTAGTCTGGAGGGCGCGCCGGCCCTCGTTGTAACCTGGTGTAGCCCCGCTTGCGTGGCCCAGACAGGGGACGGCCTTCATCGTATCCTGGTGTAGCCCCGCAAATTTGGCCCAGAGGGCGGTGCGACCTTCGCTGTAACCTGGTGTAGCCTTGGTGCGGCCTCGAACTGAGCGGCTTGCTGAGGGCTTTTCTGGCTTGGAGGGCGATCCGGCCTTCGTCGTAACCTGGTCTAGCCCCTACCCTGTCCTGTTGCATAAGATTTTCATCACACGTCGCCTGTCTGATGAGGCCATCTTGAGCCAACTTGGACCATATTGCGCCATCTTGGAGGCCATCTTAAAGTACTTGTGGCCCTCTCGGCACCAGAGGGCGTGCTCAAGGGATGGTCTCCAAGCGCGGTCTCTTTCCACGCCAGGCTCGGGCGTGTCAGGTGTGAATTGTTCGCAACCCAAACAGGGTGCGCGGTGCGCAGGCAGTGGTCCCTGAGCGCAGTCTCTATCCACGCTGGGGTCGCAGGGCGTGGCAGGCGTGGCCTGACGCCAAGAGGGGGTGCGCAGGAATCTGCCCTTGCACGCAGGGCGCCAGGGCGGTCGCGGGGACGTCTCCAGCGATCCAGTTCGCCCCGCCTCTCACTTGTTGTCAATAGGCGCACTACAGCGCTGGGGAAAACCATGTTTTAAACTGTCTCCCCAATTTAATGTTTGAGCGGTTTGTAGACATTGACCAGCCAGGGGCCGCCTGGTGCCCTTGCTTCCTCCGCCCTTTTGTCTCCCAGTGCGGACCTTTTACGAATTACTCAGCAGAACACGCAGCGAGCGAGCAAGGTCGGAGGAGGAGGAAGAGGAGGAGTGGGAGGAGGAGGAGGAAGAGGAGGGCACTGGGCGCGTCCCTGGGGGCACTCGTGGCATCACTTCGTCAGTTCGTCAGGAGGAGGGAGGTCGGTCGGACGTGGCAATACAGCAGCCTGTGTGCCGATCACTGAGTGACTCCTGTTTCCCCAAAGGTGCGGTGGACAACGGGCGTTTTGCGTGAAACTGGCCCGCCTGTTCCCCCGCAGCGACAGGCTCAGCACTGAGATTCCAGGCGGCCCAAAGCACGCAAACGACAGGGCGAGGAGTGAGCGAGAGAGGGAGGGAGGGAGGCGGGAGAGGATCGCAGTGTACTGCGAATGCCTTGGAGGGTAGACATAACCTTGTGACGGTGCTCGTGATGGTTTGAATGATAAGCCTTCTGGTCCCCAAGCCTGTGCAGGGACTGTCGTTGGCACCTGGTGTTGGTGGATGGCATGCGTGGTCAGCATACCGCGCGACAGCCGCCTCTGTTCGACACATTAGGTCTGGCGGGGCTGACATCCCCAGAAGATGGGCAGTTTGATGGACCTCTGATCAGAGGACGGGCTGGCATCCCCCCGAATAACAGCGTCAGACGCAGGCACCTATCTAGAAGGAGGACCCAGGAAAGCTTTCCAAGGGCCAACAAGGCAGGACGGCTTGATTCCCTAGTTGGGACATGTGCGCCTGCTACACCGCAGGGATGGTCGCGATCCTGACGGTGACGGGGGGTGACCCTTTCCGCATCGGGGCAGCATGGAGACCGGATCCGCAGCAGGAGAGACGCCACCTTCGGGGTGACAAGTGCGGATTTGCGCCATCGCAGGTCGGATCGCCACCTCAGGGGTGACACGGGTAGGCAACTCTCAGGCAGGCTGGGCCGCCCCTTCCAAAGAGTGGACGGGGTGGACCCCTTCCATTGCCGCCGATGTCTCCGCTGTGAGGTTGCAAGAGGGACTTGTTCCACAGGAGAGTACCGCCACACTGGCGGTTTCCGGGGGGCCAGTCGACAACCATGTCCGGGAGCGCATGAAGATTGCGAAACACGTATCAATGCGTGCCATCAAGGAGTGCGGCGCGAGGGTTTGCAGGACCGCCAGTTACTGCCGCGGGGCAACTTTCTTGAGGCAGCAGCCCTGCGACCAGGGTGGGCGCGCATAGTCTGCGGATGCGCGATGGATGGCGCTGCCGCCAGCCAGCGCCCAAGGGGAACGACCCTCGATAGCGGCTCGACGCGAGAAGGTGCAGGGCCGCCGGCCTTTCCGCCAGGCTGTGTCCTTGAGGCAAACGTCCTCGCAACTGCGGCGAGCGTGCATAATCTGTGGACGCACGAAATCAGGCACTGCCGCCATCCAGTGCAAAAACAAACAGACCTTCCGATTAGACGTGAGAATGCGCATGGCCGCCGGCCTTGCCGCCGGGCAACCAGCGTCCTTGAAGCAGCAGCCTCGCGACAGGCGAAGTCGCAGATAATTTGCGGACGCGCGATGGTTGGCGCTGCCGATAGCCAGCG